GTCATGTTCCCAAACTTATTTGACCTACTGCCCCCTTGGTGGGGGTGGGGGTGAATGGGGGGTTACTCTTTCCCCCTCCCCACCCTGCAACTAAAAACTCTTGTACCATAGCCCCTAATCCAGGATAAAGTGTAAGTATCTGCTTTTGTGCTATCTCCCATGTTGGGAAACAGTGCCCTGGAGTGTGGGGTTCCCTCTCCCTAAAACATGCTGCTGTACAGCCTGGCTTCTCCCTGGTGGACTTGCCCCTGGTGGGCAGCAGGCTGGTGCCTCCCTTCCTGCCACATCACTGTCTGATGCTCACAGCTGGGTGGGCAGCCACCAGTCTGACCTCAAGACCATGAGTGCCCACTGGGGACACAGGGTTGGTGGGGGTGGGGTGGGGTGGGTGCCTGAATGTACGTGCCTTGTGGTCAAGTCTGAGCTGCTGCCAGTTCCCGGCCAACTGCCCACACACCACAGTGGGGTCCAGGGTACCTGGTCTGCTGAGCTTCCCCTAGGACCACACCCGCGTTTTACAGAAGAGGAAGCCAGTGGACATGGGGAGGCGCAGGTTCCGCTCAAAACAAAAATGCTGCCATCAAGTTGATGCCGACTCTGACCCTGAAGGACAGGGGAACTGCCCTTAGGAGTTTCCAAGACGAAGTCTACAGGGGGAGAAGCCCCTTCTCTCCCCCACAGACCGGCTGGTAGTTTCAAACTGCTGACCTTGAGGGTCCTCGGAGCAGATTTAACCTGGTCTGCGGAGCTCTGAGGCTAGGGTCTTGCTGCTTCCCTCTGCTGGGGACATAGGGCCGCCTGGGAGAGGGAGGGGCGCTGGGACCGCTGACTTTCCAGGACATAGCCTGGCTGTTGGGCTAAGAACAGAACGCTTTCCCTCAGCCCCTTCCTGGATCCCTGGGGCCCCCTCCCTGCTTCCCACCTTGATCCTGTCTACCTGGCCTACCTAAAGTGGGAGGTTGGGCTCCTTAGCTTGTCCCTGCAAGTCACCTGGTCCCTCTGGCCCTAAGTTTCCAGAAAAGAGTGACTCCTGGCTCCCTAGTTGGGAAGGTCAAGTCAGGGCACAGGCCTGTGTCAGAGTGGCACTCCATCCCCCTGACCCCACTGGGCACCCTCAGCCGCGCTCCTGCATTCTCCACACTGGGTCACCAAGCTCTCTTATGGCACGCTCCCACCAAACTACCCCTTCGTTACTGGAGGGACCCCTCCAGTCTGGGAAAAGCCCAGGGGACACTGGGCCCCTCCCCCACAATGCTAATGGAGGAAACTGGCCCCAGTGAGGCTGGCAAGGAGTGATTTGCCCACAGCCACGGAGCCTGCGTCTGGGGGAGCCTGAGTCCCGAGCAGCCCCTCCTGGCTGGGAATCAGCAGGCTCCCTCCTCCTGCCATCTGTCTTCTGCATTCACCAAGCCATGACTGTGCACCTACTGTGTGCGAGGCCAGACCAAGTGAGTGGGATTACTGTGGACATGCAGACGGGGGTGGTGGTGGTGGTAGAGGGACACTGCAGCCCCAGTGTGGCGGTCTTCTCATAAGGACTTGGCTGCGTACACTTCCCCGTGCCCAGACTCACCAGAACTCCATGTGGCCCAGGGCGTGGTGGTCCCCACTGCCTCCCCGCACCCACCTACACCCCCCCACACACACACAGCCTCTCTGGCTCCTCGCAGCTGCTGCCTCCCCAACCTCACTGCTCCTCAGACTCTGGTGGGGGCAGGCAGGCTGGCAAATGGAGTTCTGCCCACCAGCGTCCTGGAAGATCCAGGCCAGGATCCCATGCCTGTCATCAGCCATGGGACCTGAGGGCAGGCTGCCGGGGACTGCAGAGGCCAGGTGGTGGGGTGGGTGCTCCAGAATGAGGGTGAAAGCCACCAACAGGGCTGGTCAGGTAGGGGGTGGGGGAGGGACCAGGAGACCTGAGGCAGCAAAGGAGCCAGCGAAGGGGTGGAGGGGCAGCTCGTTCAGGTGTTTGCATCCTGGTTAGAGGTGCCCCCGGGTGGAAGACCTTCAACACACTCGGCTTAGGTTGAGTCCACTCAGAGAAGGTCTGGGCATGGACTGGGGAGAATTCAGCCACTGAACCCCCTCCAGAGCCCCGTTCTCTGACCCTCCTGGGCCTGTGGGAAGTGGACACCGCCCTCCATGCACGATGGGTGTGTACCGAGAGCGGTTCCCGAGTTCCCATCTGCCTGACTGAAGTCTGCTGGTGTTGGCCCCAGGGGTAAGGGGCAAGAGCTGCGTTGGTTTGCACGCGGTGACTCACCGGGTGACTGTCTCGGCTGGCCGGCCTGGCCTTTCCTGACGGTGACATTTGGCTTTATGCAAGCTCCCCTTGGACTGTGAAGCCGCTAAGTCAACAACACACCCTTTCACGTGGTCACAGCCATAACCAGGGTGCCTTTGAGAAAGATAAACATCAAAGACAATTACCCAGGAGGCCAGGCGGACCTGTTTGTCTGGGCCTCTCCTTCCAAGTGCTTCTGGTCTTAAAACTGTCGTGGCTCACATATAAGTAGGAAGAACTCCCCTCCAGGCACTAAGTGGGACCAGCTTTCCTATTTAGAGGAGGAGCCGTGGTGGTGTACTGGTTATGCACGGGTCTGCTAACCACAAGGCCAGCGGTTCTAAGCCACCAGCTGTTCTGAGGGAGACAGATGGGGTTTTCTATGCCAGCAGAAAGTTAGTTTGTTGGCACTGACTCACTCAGCGGCAGAATGTATTTCCCCCCCTATTAAAGGGTGTGGCTGCTCCTTGTAAACACTAGAAAAGGGGGGCAGAGTTCTGTAGGGCTAGCCTAGTAGCCCCCCTCCGTCTAGTTCAGGGGTTCTCAACCTGTGGGTCATGACCCCCTTGGGGGTCAAATGACTCTTTCATAGGGGTCACCTAAAGCCATCAGAAAACATATTTCCGATGGTCTCTGGAGCAGACACAGCTCCTGTGTCCAGGCGGGTCTGCCCACATGCAGATACGGTCACCTACGAGTAGGCATGAAGACTGTTACTTACCCATGCTACACCAAACTTCAAGACAAAATTTCACTTATTTGTAATCAGAAATAAATAGTTCACAATATATAATTACATTTTGTTTTTGTGATTCATCCCTATGCTTTATGTTTAATTTGTAACAATGAAAATACATCCTGCATGGAAAACCAATTTACTCTGTACAGTTTTAAATCATAAAACAAGTTGTATGTATGGATTATGATGAGTTGTATGAGCCCCCATATTTTTTTTTTAAGTTAAAAAAAAGAAAATACATCCTACATATCAGATATTTACGTGACGATTCATAACAGTAGCAAAATTGCAGTGATGAAGTAGCAATGAAACTAATTTTACGGTTGGGGTCACCACCAATGAGGAACTGTATTAAAGGACCTCGGCATTAGGAAGGTTGAGAGCCACTGGTCTGATTCTGACGCAGACACCATTGGACAGTATAAATGGCTCTGTGGATTTCCAAGACTAGCTCTTTCCAGACGTAGCCTCTTCTTTTTCCCTCGGAGGGGCTGCGGAGTCCAAACTGCTGACCTTGTGGTTAGGAGCCCATCGTGTATCTCACTATGCTACCAGGGCTTCCCTAACCGCTTTGCTCGAAAACACTGCCTGCTGTTCTGGAAGATGACACCTCCCGTCTTTGGGGAAGTTCCAAGCTTGGGTTTCTGGAAGCCTACCTTCCCTGTAAGCTTCCAACTTCTCAGAGTACCTAACTGGGCCTCTTGAGCTGAGGGCATAGTTCTGTCTAAGGAGGGCTGCCTGGGGACTTCCCCAGGTCTCCATGGGAAGCTGCCCGGCTCAGATGCTTCCTTGCTAACCGCCCTGGGCAGACAGCCAACCAAGGTTCCGAGAAGTGGAGGTGTTGAGCACGGCTATGGAGTTTCAAAGTGGCTGAGCCGGGCCTGAAGCCAAGGCTTTACCTTTGACTCCCAACCCCGCTATTTGCCCAACCTCCACTCATGGAAAAGAGGCACCTGGTAGCCAAGGCAGTGCAGTGGCTAGTCCATTGGCTGCTAACTGAAAGGTCAGTAGTTCAAATCCACCAGCCGTGGCAGGGGAGAAAGATATGGCTGAGTTCCCTCCATCACTGCCAACAAGTCGATTCAGACTCACACCAACCCCATTGGACAGTGTAGAACTGTTTCCCAGGGCTTCCCAGACTGAATCTTTCACAAGAAGAAAGCCTCATTTCTCTCCTGCAGAGGGGCTGGTGGTTTAGAACTGCTGACCTCGGGGTCAGCCCAACATGTAGCCCATGACACCACGAGGGTTCTTTTACCATAAAGATTTACAGCTTTGGAAGCTCGATGGGGACAGCTTTTTCGTGTCCCATCCGGCCACCCTGAGCAGGAACGATTCCACAGCATCAGGCTTGGTTCTAGGTTTTAGCTAGGGCAGGGTGGCCCAGTGGTAAAATTTCCTCTCGGCTTCCACCTGGGAGGCATCCGTTCCGTTTCGGGCCAGTGTACCTCAGTGCACCTGCCACCACCCGTGTGTCAGTGACGGCTTGCCCGTTGATGCAACGCAGAACGGGTTTCAGCAGAGCTTCCAGACTACCACAGGAGAGGAAGAAAGGACTGGCCACTGACTTCTGAAAACCAACGAAACCGGACGAAGGCAGCCTGGCCTATCTGCGCACGCGCGGGGTCACGGGCTCGCTGAAGGGGCTCCATCAGGGCTGACCGTTAGAAAAGACAGCCCAAGGCCAGCACCCACGGGGGTTCAGAACCAAGCATCCTCTGCTGTTCTCACGCCTCGGTTCTGAGAAGCGTTTGCTTCAGCGGAGCCTGCGCTTTCGACAGCATTCGATGCAGTCAGCAAACGCTCAAGAAAACCAATGTTCGCGGGGCTCACGTCAGCTGCGGCCGGCCAGGCCGCTGGGCGCTGTGAGGAATAGCGGCCCCGCCTGAACGGTCATCTCTACAACCAGCGCCGTCGCACTCGCAGCAGCTGGTGGATTCGAACCGGTGACCCCAGGTGAGCGGTCGAATGCTTCACCGCGGTGACGACGGGGCTCCTTCGGCCTCAGGTGAGGGCAGGGAAACAACAAGGCCGCTAGCCAAAATCCAGCCGGTCGGGGTCAGGGCGGCGAGAGGGCTCTGCCTCAGTTTCCTCCTTTGGCATTCGAAGTGCCGGGCTTCGCTGTCCTCGCGGGAAGGACGTGGGGACACCTTGGCCATGGAGGCCCTCCGTCAGTCCAAAGCACCCCCTTTCGTGGTTCCCTACTCCGGCCGGGCGCCCAGCGACCGGACTACGAAGCCGGCCAGCGCGCCAAAGCGCTAGAAGGCGCGCGAGCCCTGCACGCATGCGCACAGGAGGCCCGGGGCGGGGCTTCCGAGGGCGGGGCCGGCGGCCCTCCCGCGGGACGCGCGCCAGGAAGGAGAGCGGCGCGTGCGCCTCGCCTGTGGGCGGGGCCGGGGGCGCGGCTTGCCGGGGGCGGGTCCTGGCCGTCACGCGCAGCCCCGCCCCCGGCCGTCGTCGGTGTCCGGGAGGCGGCAACCGCTCCTCCTCGGCCGTTCTAGGTTGGTGGAGCCCGCTGCGCCTCGGCTCTTTGGCGACCATGGGGGACCCCAGCAAGCAGGACATCCTGAGCATCTTCAAGCGCCTCCGCTCGGTGCCCACCAACAAGGTAACGGCCCGCCGGGCGCGTCCTGGCCTGCTGGGCATCCCGGCCGGACCCCGCCGGCGCCCGCGGGGAGGAGGAGCCGCCCGGCTGTGACACGTCGCACTGTGGGGCCGCGGCGGCCTAGCCTCGCCTGCCCGGACGAGGGGGGCCTCGGGGGCGCACACCCGCGGGGCTCCGGGGGCTTCCGGGCTGGGGCAGCCACCCGTGCGGTCCTGCCACCGGGAATGGGGGCTCCGGAGGGCCCGGGATGGGGTGGGGGTACACGTGTGGGTTCTTCAGGGAACTGGGGGGTGGACACTGGGGATGAGCTCGGGGGCTCCTGGGAGTGGGGCTGGATGCCCGGGGGGGGGGCTCCCCAGGGGGCTGGGGAGGATGTCACAGGACACCTGTCACCCAGCGAGCCCCCCCTACCCCCCATGGCTCTCCCACTGGTGACCCGAGCCTCATAAACCCAGATGGCCTGGCTGGCAGCTTGATCAGGACAGCTGCCCCTCCCTACCCAGCCACCACCCCCCCCTGCAGTTCCTGGGGAGGGTCCCTGAGACATTTTCCCTAACTGACAAAGCTGCCCAGTGGTCAGGGCCATGGCTGCCTGAGAAAGTTGATCACAAACCCTGCCCGGGGCTGTTTCTCCAGACAACTTTCTGCCCCTGGCGGGAGGCGTGCTCAGGACAGGATGTGGCATCATCGGGAGAATGACATCCTCATCAGAGTGTCACAGGTCGGAGTGCAAAGGGCTGTGCAAAGGGAGGGTGGACTCTCCCCACCCCTCCAGGCTGCCCCAGCCCGGCCCTGCCCTGTCCCCCTGTCCCCTTCCCCAAGTGAACAGCTGTTAGCAAGCATGTCCCTGCTCCTGGGGAAACTGCAGAGTGGACCAAGTTTGGGTGGTTTTGTGTCTTTCTGGTGGTGGTGATGGTGGCTGCTGGGTGCCGTCAGGTCAGCTCACAGTGACCTCATGTGTAGCAGGAGTTTTCTCAGTGGTCATCTCCCTGGAAGCAGGTGGCCAGGACCCATCTCCTTGGAGCCACTGCTGGGAGTCCCAACCACCAGCCTTTGGGGAAGCCGTTACATGCTCTTTCTCTGGGGCCCCAGGGCTACTTGCTGGTGGAGGACACCCATCCTTTCACAGCCTGAGCCGGGCAGTTGGAAACTGTGCCTTGGGAATGATGGCCGGTGGGCCGGAAGCAGAGAGGGGAGTGCTTTGGCGCCTGGTGCTTTCCTTTGGCAGTGTCTTGATTTCCGATTTCGATTGATGGAGACTAGCGAGTGATTGATGGGCTGTGGAGCGTGGCAGGTCAGGCTCTGCCTTGCACTCCACGGCTGTGGGACTTTGTTCTGCCGTCGTTATCACAGGACCTGATCCACGTGTGTTGTTTGATTACACTCACCCCAGGAAGGGTGCCCTTTCTAAGTGTGGCATCAGTGTCTTCACACCGACTTCTGTTTTTTTCCTGGTGTGAACATTTTATTGTGATTTGAGTGGATGTTTACAGAGGACATTCGCTTCAGCAGGTTGTCCGAATTTTGTTTGGGGACAGTGGTCGTGGTCCCCTCGATGTAGCAGCCCTCTCCCCACTTTGTCTCCGGACGTCCATCCATCCCTCTCCCTGCCCCTTCCTGCGCCCTGAGCTTGGTTTTTGGACAAGCACTGCCCTTTGGGTCTCGGCGGGTCAACTGTTCTGCAGGGCGCATTCCAGGTGATGTTACTACGGACTTTATAGGCCCGTCTGCCCCTTTCCTGAAAGGCGGCCCCTAGTGGTGGGTTCAGCTTCAGATTTGAAGGGTGTCTACGGGCCATCGTGTTGGGGGCTCCATCAGCCCCACTTTTGAGGGGCATGCGTGGGCTTGCATGTACGTCCCTCCGACCCACTTTCTAGCCCTGCCCCCCTCGAGCCCCCCTCCAGGTTGACCACTTTGTACCATATGTCCCTATCTGAAAGTGGGACATGGGCTCTGTCCAACTCAGGGTTCCTGTGAGCATTCTGTGAAGTGAGGTCATCCAGGATGTAAGTGAGGACCTCTGCAGGTGCTGACTGCATCCGAACGGCAGACAGACAGACTCCTTGCGGTCCAGTGGGGTCAGACTCCCGACCCCAGGTGGTAGAGTAGAACGCTCCAAAGGGCTTTCTCCACTGTCATCTTTACGTCAGCAGACAGCCAGGCCTTGTTCCTGTGGTGCCACTGCGGGGTATGGCCCGTCCACCTTGAGGTTGGTTACCAGTCAAGTGTAGCTGCTGTGCCCTCCTGAGACCTCCCTGCCCATTTTAGCCACCAGTAAGCATGAGCTATGATTTTTATGATGAGGCTTAGAACTCACCCAAGCCAAACACAGTGTCATGGAGTCCCTGCAGACTCACCGCCACCCTCTAGGACAAGGTAGAATGGCTCCTGTGGGTTTCTGAGACTGCCACTCCTTCCGGGAGCAAAAAGGCGTGCTCCTAGGCAGATGGTCTTTTACAGTAGAACGAATAGAAGCAGGGGGCAGAAAGAGCCACAGTTAATGTTCTACACCGTCTGCTCCAGGTCTCAGTAAAAGGTGAGTTCGTTTGGTCCTGGGTCTGAGGCTCCTGCCTAGAGAGAGATGAAGGCCCGTTCTAGACCTCGCACAACGGCCTGATGCGAGGTGGTTTGTTGGGGGCATGGAGAAGCACTCTCGGGTGGATGAGGAGGGAAAGGGAGCGTGGATCACTTTCAGACCACCAGAGCCAGCTCCCACTTCCGGCGGTGCATCGGTACGCGTTGACTCTGGGTCTGGAATTCCCACTCCCACCTGTCAGGCTTTGCTTGGTGTTGTTTCCATGCGTCCGTTTTTGCACCCGACCTTGTTGCCGTTGTGTCTCGCAATTGCATAGGTTATTTATCCAGCAAATCTTCCTGGGGGTGGAGGTGTGCTGGGCACCGTGGGAAGCACCGGTGAGGAAAAAGACGCTGCTCCCACCTGCGGGGGAGCTGATGGTTTAGAGCCGGGTGTCCCCCAAGTGGGTGAGACCACCCCCAGGAGCCCCCGGGACCAGCCAAACCCAAACCAAACTCGCCACCATTGAGTCAATTCTGATTCATGGTGACCCTGTAGGACAGGGTAGAATGGCCCCTGTGGGTTTCTGAGACTGGAACTCTGTACAGGAGTAGAAAGCCCCGTCTGGTGGTTTTGAACTGCTGACCTTATGGTTAGCAGTTCCACATGTAACCATTATACCACCAGGGTTCCTTTGGAACCACCCAGGGGGCTGCAGAAGCAGATGCCTACACTGTATCCTGGAGGAGGGGCCCCACTTCAAAAGGCTTTCATTGCCAAGGCGGCGCTGAGTAATTTTTTTTTTTTTTTAATCAGAAAAGTTTGGCAGTAAGGCCTAACGGGTATGGGAACCTGTGACCTGGAGGGTGAAGCACAAGCAGGTGGCATGTGAGGGGCGGTGTGATGAAGGGGTGGGGTGGGGGCACTCTGGAGGAACTGCTTAGCTGTGTCACACTGTCCACCATTCCTTCTCTAACGTGGGGATCCGACTGGCTATGTATTTTATGGGGCCCGGTGCAAAATGAAAGCGCAGGGCCCCTGTGAACAAACTCTTACGGCTCAAATGCTGGCCACTGTGTAATTGCTCGGGCCCCACGCCTGCCCCGGCTGCTGGCCATGCCAGGGAGAAGCATCTGTTGCCAAGATGGCAGTGGTGAATGCCCCCGACATGAAGCCCTGCTCCAGGTCACGTCATCATTGGGCGCTGTCTGGTCACCACGCTTTCTCTCTCTCTCTCTCTCTCTCTCTCTAGCTGTTAGGGGACTTCCCAAAGCCTACCTTTTTTTTTTTGAAGTAACATTACTTGGTAAGGCCCTTATATTCATAACATTTGGAACCCATATCAAACAATTGTGTGGGACCATGAAGAGACTGTGTGTAAAGCTCTAACAGAGGAGGACTGGTCAGTTTTGCTATGGCACTGGTCATTTCAGAATCAGAAACAGAAGACCCCACAAACTTCAAGAAAGAAGAGACACAAACGGAGGGCAAATGGAACCCCTGGCTCAAGCGACTAAGCAGCAAAGAGGTTCCAGAGACAGCAACACCGAGACCACGAGTCAGAGCAGACGGGCCTCACCAAAATCGTGAAAGAGAAGGCTGAGCGGCCCAGCCCACTGAATTAGGTGGTAGCCAAGCAGTCATGTTGCTGAGCGCCTTAGGACAAAAACAACACCCAGCTGCTACCTTGGCTGAGAAGACTTGTAGACAGAGGAACCGGATCGTTATCATCTTGTTTCTTGTTGCTTAAATGCCCATGTGTTAGCCCCAAGGCCAGAAGTTTGAAACCGCCAGCTGCTCCAGGGTGAAAGATGAGGCTTTCTACTCCCCTAAAGGCGGACTGTCTTGGAAACCCACAGGGGCAGTTCTACCCTGTGCGATAGGCTCTCCATTGACCAGGCAGTGAGTTTGTTGTTTTTGTTATTGCTACAGTATTGTGCTCCTGAGTCGGCAAAACAAATAGCCCGGAGGGAGGGAGGGAGGGATTTCTCTTTCACCCTGGAGGCTGCTGTGCTGCTCCCTCTGGGGAAGGCTGCGCTGGACTCTGGTCTGGGATCCTATCTCAAAGGGAGGTGTGGTCCTGCTCCCGCCCGGATAAGACAGTCCAGGCAGATACGCTGCAAGTGAGACTTCCAGTTCCTGGACCCTGCTGGCTCTCCCACCCTGACCTCAACCCCACCTGTACTGGCAATAGACTCAGGTGACAAAGCATGACAGATTAAGCCGTGTTTCGAAGGCCCTCAGCCTCGTTGGTGGGTCAGGAGGGTCGTGAGGCAGCCCTCTAGGGACCCCACTGCTCTGACCAGCACCTGACCTCTGTTGTAGCTCCATCTGTTCGCAGGACCTTTTGCCACCCAGGCGCCCTGGCCTCCTAACTACCCTTGTAGGCTCTGTCCTTAAGGGCTCAGAGGCCTCCCAGAGCAACCTGCTCCCTTAGGAGCTGCCTGTGTGGGATCCAGAGGACAACAGCAACTGGAAAGTTCGATGGGAGACTGTGGGGCTGTGAGTTTATGTTGATGGAGGTGGGAGGGGGAGAGGGTGGGGGAGGAGAGCAGTTACCCATCTGGAAGCGTGTCCCCCGGTGACCAAAGGGTGTACACGTAGAAACTGTTGAATTGGTGTGTGTGTGTGGTCCTGTGTATCTTCTCAGTAATAACAACAGAAATGAAATGTATGGCAACAAAGCACACCACATGAGGTGAATGGAATGGCACCTTTCATGCCACTTGTGGCCCCCAGGGCCCACCCCTGCTCTTCCTTGCGGCCCTCCAGCCAGTCATGGGGAGGGGTGGGGCTTTGGGCCCGCTCAGTCTTCTCCTGCCTGCTGCTGCCCTCAGCAGGCTCCAAGCCAGATCTTTCTAGAATGGACAAGCTTCGCCCAGGTGTGTCTGCTGATAAAGAGCTTCCAAAGCATTCTTTTTTTGAGGGGGTGGGAAGGAGAGGAAGAAAAACAATTCTCCCATGAGCAGAATTTTCACTACTTTGTGGTTCAGAACTTGGTGAAGTGGAAAAGTTCTTTCCATGAGAGGCATTGTATTATTCAAGGGCCAGTCTGGGGAGGCCCAGTGGGCACTGGGCTTCAATGGGACAGGAGGGGCCAGGGATCCCCGCTGAGCTGGCTGGAGTGGTGGGTGTTACCCTGTGCTGGGCGCCTGCGGTGGGGAGGGCTTGGCTTTCCAAGCTCGGTGGGAGCTGGAAAAAGACGGCCGATCCTGTCCACAAATACTTGCTGTGCTTCTCCACTCTGGGCAGACTTCGAAGGCCTGGCCTGGCTCCCAGTGCCCCAGCTGGGCAGTGAGCTGTGTGGTAAGCATTTCGAAGTGACCTGGGCAGAATGGGGCAAGGAGCTTTACTCACTGTGTGTGTCAGTCATACCACAGCAAGACAAGACAACAGGTGTCTGCTGTCTCACCCCGCGGGCTGAGGGTCAGGCCTACGGGGCGGCTCAGTGGGATGGTGACCTTGGGGTCAAGCTGTAGACCAGGCTGGGGTCTGAGACCTCAGCTCCTTGCTACTGGGAGCCCCTCCATGAGGAGTGCCATGTGTCCTGGAGACATGGCCTGTGGCTGGCCCCAGAGCTGGGGAGCCAAGGGGGAGAGAGAGCGAGAGAGATGATCTCCCTAGTGTCTCTTACAGCTTAACTCCAGGAGGGAATCAAGGCACATCTGCCACATTCTATTGGCCAGTGTGACGCCCTGGGACAGCCAGGGAGGCGGGGACACAGGGTAGGCTCCCTGGAGGTGGTCGGGGGGCCTTCTCTTAGAGACTGACTGCTGTGCCCTCCTCTGGCTGGGAGAGAAGCTGTGGGTTCTGTCCAAGGTGGGCGGGAAGGCCACACGGGAGCATTCAGAGCAGGGGAGGCTGGGGGCGGCACAGCTAGTTCATTCATGTGGCCAGTAGACCCTGCTGATGCCACAGCAGTCAGTCAGTCTGAGGGGCTCGGCAAGCCCACGTGCCCTTCGCTGCACGTTCTAGTGAGAGAAGTTGACATTCGAGGACTTCCGCCCCACCCCTATCTAGGTAAGATGTTTTCTAAGACCCATCGACAGTCTAAAATGTCACGTGTGGTAGCTTTTGAGCAAACCATGTAGTGTAGTGCACAGGGGGCTCATTGGACTGTCAGAAATGACAGGCTCAGGTTACAGTAAACACACTCAACGGATTTGTGATGGCTTTCTAATGCTCTTTTATTAAAGTGTGTCTGTAAACTGTTTATATGTAATGCTTCTAACTCCAAAGGCAGATGTAAGGGGCTGCCCTGTGGGGTACCAGCCCCCACAATCAAACGAGTTTAAGGGTCGGTTGTGTGACTGAGGGGTAAAATTAAAGAGATAAATATAAAGCAGACAAGATAAAGCATGCGAGTGCTCACCTCCGAGGGCCATGATCTCAGCAGCCAGGTCCAATCAAGACATATATATACACTTAGGGGACATGCAAGCCCCCCTAATTACATCATAACAGGAAGGGGTTGTACAATAGGCAGACGTGCAACAGGAGCAGGATGAGCTAGGGGTGTACATGCAATAGGGAGGGGAGGCACTAGGGATACACATGGGACAAGATGGCAGCCTATCCTTGGTCCTCCCTGAGTTGGCTTGTCCTTGTCTTTGGGTTCTCCTTCAGGGGACCAATCCACTGTCCTTATCAGCAGGGAGTGGGCCCCATCCAGGGTGGGACAGACTATAGGTCTGATTGCTTTAGATGGCTGATAACCCTCAGGGAGATAACCTTTAAGCACTTGACCTCCAAGTGTATATAGTCATTGACCATGTGTTAGCAAGCAACACCTTAGCTTTGGCATATATTATGGGGGGACAACCTGGGGAATAACTTTCTGTTTCCCGCACTGCACAAGTCTGTGGGAAAATAAACAGAAAAGATAATGGAGTGGTTCCCACAAACTTTTTGAAGCCCTCCCTGGTAAAAATCAGATTTATAAAGGCAATGAAAAAGAAAACTAAAACAAAGGTATGAAACCGTGGAGTCCTTGGAAGCCATCACAGAATTGTTTTCCTTTCAGATATGTTTTGACTGTGGTGCTAAGAACCCCAGCTGGGCCAGCATAACGTACGGGGTGTTCCTCTGCATTGATTGCTCGGGGTCCCATCGATCCCTGGGTGTGCACTTGAGTTTCATCCGGTGAGTGTCGTTTCTTCATGGGCAGGCATGGGGTGGGGGCGGGGGTGGAGGTGGGAGTTGGTGGTGTTGGTCCCTGGGCCTCTCCCCTCCCTTTTTCCCTCTGCAGGTTGGCTTGACATCAAGCAGAATGAGAGGTTAATTGTGAGTTATGGAGACGGAATTACACAAGCTGGGCATAAGGATGAGTTTTCTGTTCAGTTACTGACTTATACTCGGTTCTCCAGAGGAGCAAACCCAGCAAAGTTTCTGTATGTACAGATACAGAGAAGTCTAATGTCAAAGAAATGACTCACACAATTGTAGCAGCTGGCAAATTCCAAGTCCATGGGTCAGATCTCAGGCTGGAGGATTTTCCTGACTC